TAATTATTTATTAAAATAGGTAAATATGTTCACAAATACATCTATTTTAATATTTACCTCGTCTCATAACTTCACAATATATATTTATCTATTTTATTTTTATTATTATATACCTAAATTAATTTATCAATTTTATTATATACATCATTATTACATTTATATCCATTTTAATATAAATGTTTATTTATTTTTTAACTCAACAATAATATTTTTTGATTTTTCATGTTTTAAAAAACTTAAAATTACATGATATAAATTATAATTGATTAATTATTTTTATCAAACATGCGGATATACGAGTATTTATGAGTAAAGTCTCGAAGATATAGATTTTTTTCAAATTGCATATTTGGAGACAGATATTATATTATTTTATCTATACTCAACCCATTGTCATCCCAAACACTAATAATATTGTGTAGTCATATTACTACTTTGCAAAATAATGAGATAGATGTATTTCTTGAGTTAAGATTCTCTCCATTTTTCAAAATAAATTGAGTGTTGTATTACTAAAGTTTTTGAAGTAAAAATGTATTTGTTGTTAGAATTGATGACATTTATTTCTATAATTTTACTTTTATATAATTAAAACATTAGAATGCTTATTTATTTTTTCGAACCATCCATTTGACACCCCATCTAATGTAAAGGGTGGACAACAATTCAGTTTGGTCGGTGGCGGACCAAATATAAGGAATTATAGACTAACTTCAGGTGGAAACTTTCCACCCATTTTCATCTATTAGTGTTATCTCAGCTGTCGTGGTTCAAAAAATACCCGAGTGGATCGCACGTTCGAAAATACAACATAGTCACCATTGAATTTTACTTATTTTAAAAGAAAGGGAAAATATCAATAAAATCACCCTTAATGAAGAGAAACAGGTATGGAAGTCAGTTATGCAAGGGAGGTATTAGCATGCTTCACATTTGTTATACTCAACGAGAACCGTTTTGATTATTTTTTACGCGGATGAGTATTATTATCTAAAATTTACTTGCGATTGGTGTTAATTAAAGAGAGAGAAGAATAAGTTTTTAATTAATGTGCTCGACAAGGATTCCAACCCTCAGGCCTATGTATTCTCATAATGCAATGAGAAAATTAGAGATTCGTAGTTAATGGTAAAAAATAAGTATTTGTTAGTTGATTTTAGGAAACTGTGTTATAATTGTATCCAATAAGTGTTTTGACGTTAGGTGGTTTGATCATAGTTCATATGCTTTAAGCTTTTAGTCAAACTGCTAAGGAACAAATGATAACAACTCTTTTTATAAAAGGAATTGATGTGTGATAAATGAATTGAAAAGTTTGTGGATGTGGTGAAGGTGTTGCTTGAACAAAGAGTGTATTGTTTGAACCCCTAGTGAGGTGTTTGTATCAGGAATGTAACGTGTAGCGGGAAAATTTGAGATTAAGTTATTGATTAATATAACTTATAAAACAAGAGTCGCCACTACACTTTTATTTTATCCAAAGGAAAGGAAAAAAGAGCGAACAAAACTTAAAAAAGTTCTAAAACAAGAATAAATAAACAAAAACAGGGTAAGGGGGTTGGTTACGCAAAGAGAAAGTGTTAGCACTCAAAACATTTATAATACTTTATAGAAACCTCTTTGAAATATCTACCTTTTTGGTTTGAAAATGGTTTGCTTGTAAAAGATTGGGGAGGTGAGAAAATAAATATTTTTTTATAATTTTTGTGTTTAACAAGACTTCCTGAGCCTCGTGCCTACGTACCCACAAAGTGCAATGGAGGATCAAAACCTCGTAGTTCATGGTAAAAATAACAAAAATGGTTAGTTATGACTCATTTTAAATGAAAAGACAAGTTGTCATTTTAAGGAGAATAGTACAACTAGTCACCCACAAGTAATGAGAACTTTGTATCACAAGGAAAATAGCTTCAACTTGGATAAAAATCAACAAGTATGCCACAAACTCTAACAAGTAAAAAAGAATTACCATCAATACTATGGAGACATGTGAATTACATCTCAATTATGGAAATGACTCATGTCTAAACTTTAAGAAAATTTTTAAAAGAAAAAGTGCACAAAGACATAAAATGATTTAAAAGGAAAAGTGAAAAGTTTTAAAAGGAAAAGTGCACAAAGGCAACTTTCAGCGTGTGCAATTGATTTCTGCTAATGTCAATCGATTGTCAGTGTATGTTTTCTCAAAAATACTAGTTTTAACACTTCTTTCTTTCAATTTCCAAAACACTAAACCATTCCGAACATATCTAATCATAGACTAACATGCTCAAGATTTCATACCATGAATTTCATCATTATTAACATCTTTACACATCAATGATTAGTAACAACAACATGGAATCATGAATCAAGAATATTAACCAAACAATTAACACCATGACATGCTTTCCGCACAACAACATAAAACAATCATGAAATCAATACAATTCTAACTTTCCAAGTCATGGATTCTTCCCCCAAGCTAAATCTAACTAGGAACTCACCTTAAGAAGATGAATATGAGATGAATTGGTGGTGATGGTGAAGACTTCCATGGCCTTCTTCTTCTTTCTTTCTTCCCTTCCTTTCTTCCCTTTCGATCTCTTCTTTTCTTTTCATTCTTTTCTCTTTTCTTCTTTCCTCTCTTGTTTCTTTCTTTTGTTTTTTTTTATACTGATAGGTAGACATATAAGGAAAGGAATATGTGGAATATATGTGGAGGAGTAAAAGTAGTAAAGAAAAAGAGATAAATGAGCAGGTCAGGATAAAGTTGGTAAAGAAAATATCTTCAAGTATAGATATTTCATCTACTAGAGCAATTGATCAATTATTAATGTTACCAAAATGTTCATTCTTGTACTTATTAATAAAGTCTCATCTCTTTAATAAGAATTGATCTATTCTGAGTTGACTGATTACTCTATTTATCCCAACTGACAATATTTAGAGCACATAAATGTATACCGGATATTACAGTAAGTGTTATTCTAATCGTCATATAACACACGACAATCATATTTCTTGGGTCTCCCAAGAAGAAGGTGGAAAGAATGCACGGGAATAACAAATATTATACCTCGCCTATATACTATTTACCAATAGAAAAAGGTACACGACTTTATTTAAATACTTTTACCTCATTACCTTTGTTGAGCCATTATATCTTGTATGGATGTGTGCTCTCCTTTGTAGGTAATTTTAATTTGACCACCATATAGTTCGACACAACATTTTCACAATTTTCACTATCGATGATGAAATTACAAACCATGCATTGCAAGGGGTAGCGAGTGTTGAAGACATTGTGTCTTAGCAACGATTATCTTTTGGGTGTTGTCATGTGTAAGCTTCTTCTTATTAAAAGTGATTCATTATAGTCATTAAGAACACATTTTACATTTTTTATTGTATATTGGTATCCCATCTCCTCTTCTTCATAAGATTCAAATGCATTTTCTTTTTCTTTAAACACAAAATAAAATAATAAAATAGATTACTATTGTTGGGTGAGAATATGGAAGTAGAAAAATGGTCTAGAGGGAATGAATAGTCCCTTATTATAAAATTCAACTTATTTTTTAAAAATATAATATCAGAGGTTTTTCAAAAGTGCATACAGAAGGTTTGAAATGAAAATATGAAAATTATACTTTTGTTGGACCTTGATCATGTTAACACTTAATCAATCTTCAATTACCAATTGATTATTTTATAATAATACATAAAGATATTCAATTGATTTAGTTGTATATTCTACTATGTGTGTTTATACAACAATTTAATAATAATTAATTCTAACCTCAATTGTTTCTTAGGATTTAATCACTAATTCAACTTAATTAGACACTTATTCTAACAAAAACCTAACGTTACATAATAAATTATTACCAATGAATAAATGATAAACTACACTAGAATTGAAATTCCTAAGCATGCAATATCTTACAAAAATTAAATGCAAGAGTAAGGGAGAGAGAGAGTACACCCGAATTTGTAGTGTTTTGGTGTTTGTCTTCACTTTCTCTACATGCACTCTTCAATGGTTTCCCATTGGAACCTGCATAGTTCCTTTTTATTTTGATAAATATTGCAAGAGTTATACAATCACTAATCCACAATAATGCTGAGAAAAATAAATCTGCTATCTGAATCTTGACTTGTATACAACGTAATGCCAAATTCTTTTACGTAATCTTTACTCGATTAACGCTTCTTGAATCTTCTAATATCACTAATCTGCTAGAAGTCTTCATGTGTAACAATCATCCCTTGATTCTACTGATTCCTTGATTGAATAATTGTGCGAAGATTTGAGAAAAAAGTTGTCTTGTCTGTATCCTTTCACACAATCACTACCAAGAAAATATGGAGAGAAGAACCTCCTTCTTTTCACTATAATTTGTAAGCACGAATGACAACAAGCACAATCTTGCAAGTTACTTGAAAATCTCAATCAAATCTTCAAGAATGATTAGTTTCAAGACGACATCTCCCTTAATCAATTATAAATCTCTCACAATCAAGATCTGAAATCAAACTTGAGGTTGAAAATGTAAGAGTTTCGTTATAAGAATTTTAAACTTTAAAAATCAGAGAATGTTGATTTTTTTTTCATACAATCACAATGTAAAATTTGTAAAAAATATATAAATTATTATTAAAAATAATTGTTGTTTTTTTAATTGTGTCAATTAATTAATAAAAGTATAATATTTTATAATAATATTATTGTATTCTCAAAAATTTTAAACGATATTTATTTTAAAATTGAAGGAGTATTTGATTTATTTTATAAACATCTTTAGTATTGAAAATATTTAAGATTAAAAAATCTTGTCCTGACCAAACAAAGTGCTGTACTATTGTCTATTGGTCCAACTTGAACTAGCTAGTGTATTGGAATTGATTGTTCTATAAATATGCACTTAAGCTAAAACTCCATTCATCACAATCTAACCACCAAACCTTTTGTATTTTCTCTCTTCATATTCACACTATCACCTCACTTTTCTGAAAAAATGGATTTTGGAAAGAGTTCCACAGAGGCTTCTACTGATAACAAATCATCACTTGCACTGGTCCATGTTGACGTTGATCAACCTCTATCGGTTGCACCCATTGTATCTTCTTATAATCAAAAGATACGTCCAGTTCTTGACGCCCTTGAAAATCTAAGGCGTCTCAACATTGCCAAAGAGGGAATACAGCTTCCAACCATTGTTGTTGTTGGCGACCAATCTTCTGGAAAGTCAAGTGTTCTTGAATCTCTTGCTGGGATCAGCTTGCCCCGTGGTCAAGGAATCTGCACTAGGGTACCTTTGGTTATGCGTCTTCAGAATCATTCACTTCAACAGCCAGAGCTTGTATTGGAGTATAATGGCAAGAATGTTTCAACTGATGAAGCAAATGTCTCTGATGCTATAAACACAGCTACTGAAGAGCTTGCTGGTACTGCAAAAGGGATTTCCAACAACCCTTTGACTTTAATCGTGAAGAAGAATGGTGTTCCTGATCTTACCATGGTTGATCTTCCAGGTATAACTCGTGTTCCTGTTCATGGTCAACCTGATAATATTTACGATCAGATTAAGGATATTATCATGGAGTATATAACTCCCGAAGAAAGTATTATCTTGAATGTTCTTTCTGCTACTGTTGATTTTACTGCTTGTGAGTCTATTAGGATGTCGCAAACAGTTGATAAAACTGGTTTGAGGACACTTGCTGTTGTCACCAAGGCTGACAAGTCTCCTGAAGGTTTGTTGGAGAAGGTTACCGCTGATGATGTTAACATAGGTCTTGGTTATGTTTGCGTGAGGAATCGTATCGGCGATGAGACTTATGAAGAGGCCAGAGATGAAGAACAGAAGCTGTTTGAGTCTCATTCACTTCTTGCCAAAATAGACAAGTCTATTGTTGGAATTCCTGTATTGGCTCAGAAGCTTGTTCAGGTTCAAGCTAAGATAATTTCGAAAACTTTGCCTGAAATTATTAAGAACATCAATGCGAAGCTTGCTTATAGTTTACATGAGATGGAAAACTTGCCTGCTAATTTGTCTTCATTGGCTGATGCAATGTCTGCTTTTTTGCTAATTCTTTCTCTTTCAAGAGATTCACTTAGAAAGATTCTTCTGATAGGTGAATTTGAAGAATATCCTGATGAGAAGAAAATGCATTGCACTGCTAGGTTAGTCGATATGCTGAATTTATTTGCAAATGAGCTTCAAAACTGTGATGAAAGTAATTCTACCAGAGATTTTCTTATGGATGAGATCAAAGTTCTCGAGGAAGCCAAGTTTATTAGTCTTCCAAATTTCATGCCAAGAACTGCTTTTCTTACATTACTTCAGAGAAAAGTAAAGGGCATTTCTCATATGCCAACAAACTTTGTTGATAGTGTGTGGAACTATCTGGAAAGTGTTGTAACTTCAGTTCTGAGTCGCCACTCGGCAAACTATTACCAGTTGCAGGTCTCTACTCGTCGAGCGGCTGAGCATCTTATTTCTAAGAAGAAGAAGATCTCCATTCAACATGTGATGCAAGCTGTTGAGATGGAGAAGCACACAGACTACACTTGCGATCCTGAGTATTTGGAAGAGTATTACGACTTGATGTTGCATCAAGAAGTATTTGTGAAAGAAGTTTTAAATGTTTTTCGAACATCAAATACCGTGAATCTTGAAGGGGTTGGTAACATTGAAGTTAATCATTTGAAAATGTATACTAAAAATGTTTTGAGTCAGGCCTTTGACTTGAAAGCAAGATTCATTGCCTATTGGAAGATTGTGGTGAGGAGGGTCATTGATGTTATTGCTTTGCATTTGATGCTTAGCATCAATGAACTTGTGAATGTTGATTTGCAGAAGGAGATATGTAATGAACTTGGGGGTGGTGTTGAGAGGCTGCTTGAGGAATCTCCATCTATTTCTGTGAAAAGAGAAAAACTTAGCAGGAGTGTGAAAGTTCTGAGGGAAAGCAAGGAGACGGTGGCTAAAATTATGGACAGGATTGAAGTCTATGGTGATAAGTGATAACTAGTAAAACATTGCTCAGTGTTTTTTAATTGTTGGAGTTTTAATTTTGTTATTGTTTGTGTCTGTTTTGTTCTATCATGCATGAGCATGTGGCCTTTGTCATGTCGTTTTTTTATCAGTTGGAACCTTTATTACTTATTAGTATCTATCATGCATGAGCATGTGGCCTTAATGAAGAATACCAATTTCTTCTTTTACTGTGTGACCTTCTTTTTGTTTTCTTCTTTAACTCATTCACTATATCTACCAGTTTTTATCATATACTAATCTTTTATTTTAGTTGAATACCACTTTCAACAGTCACATTTTCTATATTATATACTTATCATTTTCCATCTACAAAATATTGGATTATAAATACTATCAAACTAACAAAATATGACATTTCAAAATATATTATTATATGAAAATGTGCTGTTGTCACCATAGTTGTTGCTCAATGGGATAAATAAGTGAAATTTTACACTGTAATGTTGTCACCATAGTTGTTGCTCAATTGGGATAAATAAGTTAAATTTTACACTAATAACGACGTTTTTGGATAATATTTCTCGATCAATTTTTAAACTACCAAAATTTCAAAAAAAAAAAAAGTTTTCAGCCAAGGAAGGCGCTATTTGAAAAGGCTTCCTTTTTAAAATCGAAAGGGAGGCCCAAATACATTGAAGCCACCCGTTAAATTATAAAGGGGCGTTAAATACATAGGAGTCATCTCTTAAATTATAAAGGGAGCGTCAAATACATTAGAGTCATCTTATGAATTAATAAAAATTAAACATTTTATTACAAAATAAGGTGACTCCAGCTCCTTTTATAATTTAAGAGTTAATTTAAATATATTTGACGCGTTCTTTATAATTTAAGAGGTGATTTTAATGTATTTGATGTCTTTCTTTGACCAGGTCCATTTCCTAACCCCGTGTTACTATTTGTGCATGTTAACTCCATTCGCATCTTTGTGCTTTTACTCTTGCGTATTAACTCTTTTCAATTATTTTGCACGACTTTTCTTCAAACCTGTTTTCACAACTCGATTAAATCTTTTTCTTAATAAAATCGGAAGGAAAGGAAAATTGGACTTTTAAATTTCATGAAAACCTTGAATAATCGGCCTTGAGGCATGTGTCTGGGTTTTACCGAGCATTCTCCTTCCGTTATAAAATCTTTTCTCAATAAAATAATAAAAAAAAGTAACACTGGAGTTTCACACTCCTTGAAAACCATGAATAATCATCCTCGAGGCACGTGTCTTGGCCTTACCGAACGTCATCTTCCGCAAACAAATTTCATAAACACTTTGGATGAAAAAGGAACATTGGGGTATATACTCCATGCAAACCTCAAACAATCAGCCCGGAGGCATACATCTTGGTCTTATCGAGCGTTCGTCATCCTCCTAAAACCAAATTCAACACATCAAACCTATCTTTTTCTCTCCACCGCACGATAGAAAACCTTTTCAGAAATGAACATTGTTTAGTCTATTCTACCACGACACAAAGAAACGCTTAAGCCTCTCATGCACGAGCATACAAACAACGTTTAACTGCTAGAAAGCGGTCAAACATGATCCTTTCTACCATGATACAAACAAACCCTTAAGCTTCCCATGCGCGAGAATACAAGCAACATTTAATCGCTAGAATGCGACCTAAACATTCATTCACTGAAATCAACCAACCAACACACATTTGCTACCAAGAACTACGTAGCTTTGAGTTCCTCATCGCACATAGAGATATTTAGGAGTGAGATTCAACATCTCATCAAGCGCTATAATAAAAAAACCCAAAAATATCTTTTTATCTTGCCCAGAACTACGTCACTTTGAATTCCTCATCGCATTTGAGGATACATGGGAGCAAGACCCACAATCTCGTCAAACACTATAATAAAAACTTTTTTGTGACCTCTTTTGTTTTCCTTTTCAATCTTTTATCAATTGAAGAAAATAAATAACAAAAGCTAACATTCCAATTGTTAATTTAGCTAAATGGTTCCTATTAAGTACAACGAAGATGAGGGGTGCTAATAACTTCCCCTTGCGTAATTAACTCCCGAACCTGAATTTAGTTGCGACTACCATTTTATTTTTTTTTCTTTTAAGGGTTTTATCGATAATTCTCCCTTCTTTGTGGATCTCGTTGTAAGATGGCTCCTCGTCACATAATGTTGGTTCATTAAAAGGTCAATGACTTTAGGGGCCCCTCTTAGAACCAATTTTTCTTTGGTGGTTACGTATTATTATCCCCCTAGATGCACACGTGCAATGAATAATATGAAGACCTAACCTAGAGTTGTTGCACCCCAAAATTTGCCCTCTCTTTTTCTAACCTTAACTGGCTTTCACATCATGATCATATGCGTTCTTCATTAGGTCATGATTCATAATCATGCATTTCATGGAGCTCCTAAGACATGGGACCAGCATTTTCCTATGATTTGAGTTTTCCCTATTCAAAGGTGATTTATCTGGCTATTGCACTCAAATTGAGAATAAGATTTGCACTATCAGCATCATGAGTATCTTTCTATCAAATTTCATCTAGCTACGAGGCTTTCCTTTGCCAAGATCCATCAAGTATCAAGTTTATCTGCTTCAAGATCTCTCAAGAGGCATCAAGTGATTAAGGTTTCATCATGGTATTAGTTGAGACTGTCAAACTAGGGTGTCGTTGATTGTCAACATTTCAGGTTGTTTTCTTCATCAGTATGCACCAAAGCATGGAGTTTAGGGTTTCTTACTCCTTTGTGTTTAAGATGGGCATGTGTCGTTCACTTCAGGTTTATTTGAGGCTTATCAGGTCAGGGGCGTGTAGGCAGTATTGATAGAGGTTCAATGGTTTTAACCTAATCTTGGTCAGACAAGTTTTGTTTCAAGATCAAGTCCAAGGAGTGATTGATTCAAGTGGTTGTGTCTGAAGTTTCAGTCAGGGTTTTGCACCAATTAAAATAATTTGTGTGTGGGTCAAATCATCAGGCTGTCAGGTCAAGTGTATATGTAGTATGGACTGAGGTTTAGTGATTTCGACCTAATTTGTCAGTCGGGCAAGGGTTTGTTTCGTTATCAAGGATCAGGGCATTTTCCATCAGGGTTGTGAACAACACAATTCATATTTAAAGTCATGTTCCTCGGATTGCAAGGCATTTTCTTGCTCATATGATTCATTATGAGAAAGGTGGTGTACTGATATGCAAGTGGCACAACTCAAGATTGATTTGTGATTGATTCATTGTTTGACTCAAGAATTGATTTAAGGTTTTAAATTCAAAATTCAAGATCGATTCATCGTGGCCCAATTCAAGTTTTAATACAGAAGTTTTGAGATTTGATTCACATGGGAATTCAAATTACATGGTATCTATCATAATGCAAAGAGTCTACAAAGTTCAAAAAGGCAAAGTTCATTCACTATTACAACCATTGCCATAATGAGTATGACCCATGAAGTTCAAAATAATTGAAAGCCCATTATCTATTCTTTTCTCAAGAATAGACCCACTACAAGAAAATTACAAACAAAAAAAATTCCTTTTTGTTTCGTACAAGCCCACTACATTTCAGACACACATAATCTTGCCTCACCCACAACACAATCCAATGCAACAACTATGCAGCATGATCCACACTTTCCAAACCTTTTCACGTCAGCCATAAAACCATACAACGCATACCACATTGTCGCTTGCGCGAAAATAAGGTGCCGGCATAACAGAAGAGTCGCCACCTTTCGTTATTTATCCCTCAGAGCGGGAAAGGAAACGATCGGAAAAACCTGACGAAAAAAGGGTAAGACAAGGTCATCGCAACCATTGTCTGGGTTCGGGAGTCGGTTACGCAAGGGGAAGGTATTAGCACCCCTCACGTTCGTCGTACTCGACGGGATCCTCGCTTGCTTGTTTACTTGGACGGGTTGGTTATAATCTATCTACCTATCAAGGCTGGCTGAAAAAGGAAAAGAAAAATGACTCGGCAAAGCATCGCGCTTTATGCCTACGTATTCTCATCAGAGAATGAGAAATCAGAGTCAACGTAGTTCGGCTAACTACGGGTTATGGGGGAAAGGTTGCTCGCTAGGACATCGCGTCCTATGCCTACGTACTTTCATCTGGTATGAAAGATCAGAGCAAACGTAGTTCGGGAAACTACGGGTTATCTCTTAAAAGAAGTGTTTTTTATTGTTTGCGATCTCAACCGCACTAGAGACTATGACCTGAGAGTGAATGTGTCGCATGTCACCCAAAGGGTACCATACTAAACATCCATCCTCAGATAGCTTAAGGCTCGTAGCGTACGAAAGAAATCATTCATGATTACTGTATTTTAAACTGCTTCGAGATGAGAAGAGAACAGGCCCAACTAGGAGGGAGACTATCAAGTCCTACTGTTGTCATGCCATGGATTCATCCTATGGTTGAGGTTTGAACAGGGAACTCCTAGATGTTGTCATGCATAGGTTTCAACCTAAAAGTCTATCATCAAATCCTCATCAGAGGAAATGAGAGTCCTAAGGGATCATGTCAATGATACACCAAAACAGACAAAAGCATCAGCTTTAACAGTAAAATGCATGCAATGCAAGTGAGGGAGGAAATGTGTGTGGGGCTTCAGCCTCCACAAGCTCGTCTCGACCTCAAGCCAGTCATGAAATAACAGTAATCATACTAAAAATAAACAACATGCTATCAAGTAGTAACAGATAAGGGAAATGAAGTTGCCATCAGGCCAACAAAACACAAACTTGAGAAAGAAAGAATCTACTCTCTAATCCTAACCCTAACACAGAATCTTAACCAAATCTAAGCAAAGCCCTAAAGCAAAACCTAACCAAAAGAAATCAATCCCAGTCTTCAAGCTTCAGAACAAGCTTACCAAAGAAAGGGAGCTAAGCAGGCAGACTCATAGTGTCTTCCTCAGGAAAGCACTAGGAGGCGTATACTCAGGAGTCATACCCTATGTGGCTCAACCACTGTGATCAGTTTACGTTCCTCCTCAG